GGGGCAGGGCCGGGGCCGGGCCGGGGCAGAGGCAGGTCCGGGGCAGAGGCAGGGCCGGGGCAGAGGCAGGGCCGGGGCAACGGCAGGGCCGGGGCAGAGGCAGGTCCGGGGCAGAGGCAGGGCCGGGGCAGAGGCAGGTCCGGGGCAGAGGCAGGGCCGGGGCTGGGCCAGGGCCGGGGCAGAGGCAGGGCCGGGGCTGGGCCAGGGCTGGGGCAGGGCTGGGCCGGGGCAGGGCCAGGGCAGGGCCGGGGCAGGGCCGGCGGAGACGCCACCAAGCGCGTGGCCGGGGCTCCGTGGAGGCGGTCCCTGGCGAGGGTGGCCGCGGCTCCCGCCGTCCTCATCCTGCCGGGAAGGACGGACACGGGGCGCTGAGGAGGCCGTGCCGCGCGACGGCTGTGCAGAGAACGCAGTTTCGGGGAAGCACAGACCTGGCCGCACGGGATTTGAGACAGACGCGCCTCGGGGTCTTTCATTGCTGTGCAGCGCTGCTTCCCCGTCCCTTCTCAGCAGCCCGGAGTGGAGACTGCCGCCCACTCTGGCCTGCGGGGTGTCCCGCCGCCCACCCCCGCCCGCGGGCGCATGCTTTACCCTTTGAGCTCGGGCGTGGGGCGGCTCGACTCGGTTAGCCTCGGCAGCAGCTCGCACCACGAGAAGTCATAGAGATAAAATGACTCTTTGAATGTATCAATACTTTGAAATATAAAAAAAAATAAGTTTGTATGCAAGAAACTCCAGTTTTCGTAAAAATCTGCAGTATTAAAAAAAATTAAATCCCGAGCAGAATAAAAAATCGAGAAAAAAAGCAAGCGAGTGCAAAGGGTTAAGTGAAAACAAATGTCCCTCTTCGAAGAAACAGCGTGGAGAAGGAGTTGAGGGCGAGGGCTCGGGCCTGGGCTCCGGTCGGGCTTCTGCCGCTTGCCGGCTGCGCAACGGTGGGCGCGTCACTTGCCTTCCTCGGCCTTTCTTTCTTCTTCTGTAAAATGGGTATGCTGACAGGTACTTCGCTGCTGCACTGTGACAATGAGGAGAGAGTGCTATGTGACAGTCCTAGCATAGAATATGGCTCATTGTAGGCACTTGGGGACAAGTACTGAACTGCTACGTAAAAGAGGGGCATGGCGTCCCAAAGAGGTCATTTTCAGTGTCACTACAGGAAAAGACAGGTAAACGTAAAAGAATTATGTAGGTGTCTAGGAGCTGAGCAATCATTTCAGGATTATTCATAACATGAATTCATTATATGAACATATTATTCATAATGTATATTCTAAATATATAAATTTCCTATTGATATGTACACTGAAAAAATGAACATTTTGCATTTAAAGACTTAAATTCTTTGCCTTTTGCCCCCTTAACTTTTCTAGCTTTTTGTTAGGACACAATTTCAGAGTTACAGAAAAGTAATAAGACTAGGACAGGTGGTCGCAGTGGCTCACGCCTGTGACCCTGGCACTGGAAGGCTGAGGCAGGAGGATTACCCAAGGTCAGGAGTTCAAGACCAGCCTGAGTAAGAGCGAGACCCCGTCTCTACTAAAAATAGAAAAATTAGCCAGGCAACTAAAAACAGAAACAAAAAATTAGCCGGGCATGGTGGCGCATGCCTGTAGTCCCAGCTACTCGGGAGGCTGAGGCAGGAGGATCGCTTGAGGCGAGGAGTTGGAGGTTGCTGTGAGCACGGCTGACGCCATAGCTAGCACTCTAGTCCAGTCAACAGAGTGAGACTCTGTCTCAAAAAAAAAAAAGAAAGAATTTTTCTTCTCCCCGTGCATGATTGTATATTTTTATTTGTAACAACATGGACTCATGGATTTTTATCTTACTCAGTGGACTGTAATCTTTTGCTGTCATTATTTGATGCTCACATTGCTGCAGATTTGGCCAATGAGGGCCCCTTCAGACTGGCCTCTGTGTGTAGTCATGTCATTATCATTTTCTTTGTATTTTCTTTCTTCTTTGGCCATAAGATAGTCGAGGCTCAGATTCACGTTGTGCCTTTCCTGACCCAACCCTGGGATCAGCCATTTCTCCAAAGATCCTTGGTTCTTTTTAGTGGAGAATGGTATTTATTTATTTTATTTTATTTATTTATTTTTTTTTTTTTGAGACAGAGTCTCACTCTGTTGCCCAGGCTAGAGTGAGTGCCGTGGCATCAGCCTCGCTCACAGCAACCTCAGACTCCTGGGCTTAAGCGATCCTCCTGCCTCAGCCTCCCGAGTAGCTGGGACCACAGGCATGTGCCACCATGCCCGGCTCATTTTTTCTATATTAGTTGGCCAATTAATTTCTTTCTATTTGTAGTAGAGATGGGGTCTCGCTCTTGCTCAGGCTGGTTTCGAACTTCTGACCTCGAGCGATCCTCCCGCCCCGGCCTCCCAGAGTGCTGGGATGACAGGCGAGAGCTGCCGCGCCCGGCCGGGTGAATGCGTCTATAAGGCCAACAGAGTCCAGCTCCTTGCAGAGGGGGGGGACCACCGCCTTCTCTGCGCCGACAGCTCTGCGATGGGCTTCTCTGTGCACGGCCGCTCACGTGGGGCTTCTGTCTCTTCCTTTAGGCCTGGAGAGGGACAAGTTTGACAACAAGACCGTCACCTTCGAGGAGCACATCAAGGAAGAGCACAACATGTGGCACTACCTGTGCTTCATCGTCCTGGTGAAGGTCAAGGACTCCACAGAGTACACGGGCCCCGAGAGCTACGTGGCCGAGATGATCAAGGTGAGCGGGGGTCTCCGGGGCAGAGAGGCCGCGGCTGCTGCTGCTGGCCCGGCCCTCCTCCCGATGGACGCGGTGCTCCCTGACTCGGTGTGCTCTCCCAGGTGATCCCTGGGACGGCCAGCCAGGTGGGGTCAGCCGCTTAAAGTAGGCCGGGCGCCGTGGCTCACGCCTGTCATCCCAGCACTCTGGGAGGCCGAGGCGGGAGGATCGTTTGAGGTCAGGAGTTCGAGACCAGCCTGAGCAAGAGCGAGACCCTGTCTCCAGTAAAAATAGAAAGAAATTAATTGGCCAACTAAAAATATATAGAAAAAATGAGCCGGGCATGGTGGCGCATGCCTGTAGTCCCAGCTACTCGGGAGGCTGAGGCAGGAGGATCGCTTGAGCCTAGGAGTTGGAGGTTGCTGTGAGCGAGGCTGACACCATGGGACTCCAGCCCGGGCTACAGAGTGAGACTCTTGTCTCCAAAGAAATAAATAAATACAAATAAAAGCACCATGGTCACTGTGTGCAGTCCAGCAGGATTGTGCTTGGCCCCGGCCTGGATGTCCTGCCGGGGGTCGGGAAGGGAGCGTGTGACGGAGGGATTGGAGTCCCGGCCTCACCTTCCTGCCGATGGGAAGCGGGGACTGCCGGGAGACGGGAAGAGCCGCTGCAGATGTCCAGGGAGCTGTCCCCCCGGCAGGGCTCTGTGGAGGCCCCGAGTGCGAGCCTCGGGGTCCCGGGCCAGCTGTGCTCCCGACGTGACCATGTGGCCACATCGGGTGTGCAGGGCTGTGAGTGGGCGCAGTGTGGCCCCGTGACCGTGTGAGACGCATCGGGTGTGCAGGGCTGCGAGTGGGCGCAGTGTGGCCCCGTGACCCCTGTGAGATGCATCGGGTGTGCAGGGCTGTGAGTGGGCGCAGTGTGGCCCCGTGACCCCTGTGAGATGCATCGGGTGTGCAGGGCTGTGAGTGGGCGCAGTGTGGCCCCGTGACCGTGTGAGACGCATCGGGTGTGCAGGGCTGTGAGTGGGCGCAGTGTGGCCCCGTGACCCCTGTGAGACGCATCGGGTGTGCAGGGCTGTGAGCGGGCGCAGTGTGGCCCCGTGACCCCTGTGAGATGCATCGGGTGTGCAGGGCTGTGAGTGGGCGCAGTGTGGCCCCGTGACCTGTGAACTCTGGGGCTGAGGGCACTTCATGGTTTGCATCGACTCACTCCAGGGAGCCATCAGCTGCTAAGGAAGACGCATACAGTCTGGTCACCTGGTTGGCGGTCACTTGTAAACGCGCCCGCCTGCGTTTCCCGTGCAGATGGGACCGTCAAGCTTTTTATGTTAAGATGCTTGGAGTCGGGTCTCCGCAGACACGGGTATCCTCGCTGGCATGCCCGGCCGCGGGGCTTGCGGTTTGACCGGCAGGGCGGGCTTCACGTGGTAGTTTCTGGAACACCCAGATCGCGTGGGCTGGGGGCTCTCCCAGGGTTCGGACCTCTCTCTGGGTACCCTGCGCCGCCGTCTGCACGCGTGAGCACCCGAGACGCCGACTCCCGGCTTCCCGGATTTTTTAAAATGTGCCCGGCGCCTCCGCAGGGGCGCTCGCTCAAATTCAGATCTGAGTCGGCAGCCGCGGCCGCCGGGACGCGGGAGTCTGCGCTTCTGCAGCGCCCGGGCCCCCGCCGCCGCGGCCGCCGGGACGCGGGAGTCTGCGCTTCTGCAGCGCCCGGGCCCCCGCCGCGGCCGGGAGTCTCCCTGCGGGGAGAGGGTCTGGCAGGAGACACAGCAGGCGCGGAGGGAAGAGGCGACCAGTCCAGACGGGTATGCGGACAAGGGGGAGAGACCGTCCCCGTCTTTGGGTGGCCTCAGCCCTCCGTGGTTGGGAGGTTGCCCCACGCCTGGCGTCGCATGGGGTCGTCACATCAGCCTGAGTCGGGAACCAGGAGGAGGGGGACTTCCGGGGTGACGAGAAACGGATGAGGGTTCCTCATGGACACGACTTTGGAAAAGGGTTTTGAAAGAGGTAAGGCTCGAGACGGATCGTGGTTCGGCAGAAGGGGCACAGAAAGAGACGCGGGTTCCCGCAGGAGCGGGCTGGTGGCGTGTCCCCTTGGGCAGACGGAAGCCAGGCGGGGCCGGGGGACCTGCCCGGGAGCCGCTCAGAGGGGCCGAGCCGGGACCCAGATCCGGGTCCGCGAGTCCCGACACCGGCCGGGTGGAGCCGCCGCCTGCGTTTGGGGAGACCAGGACTTCCGGTGGGGGCCGTGCAGCTCGTCACGGTGAGGTGTGCAGGGACCGGGCACGCGAAACCGGAAAGTCCTCGGACCCTTTCCACCCCCAGTGTCCGCACCGGCGGTTAGGCGCTGTTTAGTCAGCGTGGCGCTGGACCCAGCCCTGCGCGGGGGTGGCGACCGCCGTGTGCACTCGGTGCCTCAGCGCCCAGAGGACGCGCCCTGCGCTCCTACCCCGTCACAGGCCCTCCCCCCCCCTCCCTTGCTCTCTGCTCTCTAAAGCGCTGGACGGGCCTGCCTGGAAATCTGCCGGGCCGGGTTGGCGTTTCCTGTTAATCACCTTCCTCTCCGGTCACCGAGAGCTCCGGCGCACGTTGGGGTTTCTGCCGCAATCACGAAGACTTAAAGGCGTCTTGTGAGCGGTCACTTGACGAGGATTAAGAGCCGGGTGACCCCTTGCCCGCCACCCAGGCCGGGCAGGAGCCCACTGCGTGGCGATGCCCTGAGCACGGGGCGTCAGGCGTGAGACCCCACCCACGCCGTCTCTGACGGTACGACACTTGTCGTCAGAGAGCCTAAAAATCTGTGGCATCAAAGAATTCTTAGCCGGCCGGGTGAGGTGGCTCTCGCCTGCCATTCCAGCACTCTGGGAGGCCGAGGCGGGAGGATGGCTCGAGGTCAGGAGTTTGAAACCAGCCTGAGCAAGAGCGAGACCCCGTCTCTACTAAAAAAATAGAGGCCGGGCGCTGTGGCTCACGCCTGTAATCCTAGCTCTTGGGAGGCCGAGGCGGGCGGATTGCTCAAGGTCAGGAGTTCAAAACCAGCCTGAGCAAGAGTGAGACCCCGTCTCTACTATAAATAGAAAGAAATTAATTGGCCAACTGATATATATATAAAAAATTAGCCGGGCATGGTGGCACATGCCTGTAGTCCCAGCTACTCGGGAGGCTGAGGCAAGAGGATCGCTTGAGCCCAGGAGTTGGAGGTTGCTGTGAGCGAGGCTGACGCCACGGCACTCACTCTAGCCTGGACAACAAAGCGAAACTCTGTCTCAAAAAAAAAAAAAAATAAAAAAATAGAAAGAAATTAGCTGGACAACTAAAAATATAAAAAAAATGAGCTGGGCATGGTGGCGCACCCTGTAGTCCAGCTACTCGGGAGGCTGAGGCAAGAGGATCGCTTGAGCCCAGGAGTTGGAGGTTGCTGTGAGCGAGGCTGACGCCACGGCACTCACTCTAGCCCGGGCCACAGAGAGAGGCTGTGTCTCAAAAAACATACATAGATAAAATAAAGATAATATTAAGAAATCACATATTCTCGTCTCTCTCCCTCTGGTCACCCCTCTCCTTCCCTGGAGATGGGAGTGTCCTGGCCGCGCCACGGCCTGGCCGGGGGCTACCGCGAGGCCATCGCTGCCCGGGAGCTGCAGGCTGAAGATCCAGGCTCCGGACTTTCCGCTCTGCTCCTTTCTAGCCATGCGACCCCGGGCAGGTGACAGGGCTTGGCCGGCCCAAGTTTCCTGCTTGTCAACTGAGGCCGATGCCACCCCACCCGCCCGCCGGGTGGTGCATATGCGGCGGGGGTGTGAGGCCCGGCAGGTTGGCGGGCACTCGAGGACGGAGGGGACGGGCAGAGCAGCTGATGGCCGGTCTAGAGCACAGGCAGCCGGGACAGGGGCTGCGGGGCTGACAGCTGATTTCCTATGGGTCAAAGACTGTAAGGCACCCTGGCTGTTGGCACGTCACTGCTAGGAAAAGTCAGAGTGGGCATCTGGGCTCTAAGCCAGGGGTCCTCAAACTGCGGCCCGCGGGCCACATGCGGCCCGCCGAGGACATTCACCCGGCCCGCCGGGTGTCTTTGCGGCTGCTGCCTGTCCTGCTTAGCAGCCGCCGCGTCCCGGGCCCGCAGTGCGCACTCTCCAATGGGCTGAGGGACAGAGTTGTCCCGTTTAGAAAGTCGGAGGAGCCCGCTCTGAGAGCCCCTCACTGTGGGAAATCCCTGTGTCTTCCTCTCTCTTAGATTTTAAATCTTTAACCCTTTGCACTCGGATGTCAAGTGTGGACAATGTCGAGTGTGGATAATGAGAAAAAAGCAAGCGAGTGCAAAGGGCTAAGTGTCCCTAAATGCTGGGACAGGGCATGTTGGACGTCATCGTTCTTTCTCCGTGGGATCCAGGGACGCGTGGGAATTCCGCCCGTGTGTTTAGTGGTTTCCCCCCTGCTTTCGCTGCCCCCAGTGAGGGCCTCACTGGATTTGGGGGGCGGGGGACCCTGAGTTCTGTGCATTGAAGACGCACCTTACATTGTGCCATGACCTCTCGCACGGCTGGCTGGTAGGTCTGTCCTTGCACCCGAGCCCCTGCTGGAAGGCGTGGCTGCCGCTCACGTGATGGGGGGGCACTCCCCCCACGGCAGCCTGCAGTGCCACTTGGTCCCGCACGGACAGCCTCGGTCACTGACTGGGCCCCAGACAGGGCTGTGCTTTCCAGAGACATGTGACTCCCTAGCGACCTCCGTAGCCTCTAGCAACTCACGGCAAGGGAAAAAAAACAACCCTGAGTTTCCTTTCCCCATAGGAACTTTTTTTTTCTTTTGAGAGAGAGTCTCACTCTGTCACCCGGGCTAGAGTGCTGTGGCGTCAGCCTCGCTCACAGCAACCTCCAACTCCTAGGCTCAAGCGATCCTCCTGCCTCAGCCTCCCGAGTAGCTGGCACATGGGACAGGCATGTGCCACCATGCCCGGCTAATTTTTTCTATGTATATTAGTTGGCCAATTAATTTCTTTCTATTTTTAGTAGA